TTATATTTTATATGTTTTATTTTTATTTTTATAAATTTTATCAAGTAATATATAACACAAATAAAAATATTTTATATTACAGTTGAAAAAAAAAAAGATTTCGAAAGTCAAAAATGGAATATCAATTTAGAACAAGGGGAATAATAAAAGTTAAATAATATAGGTCAAAATAGAATGAAATATTTAATAGGCTAGAGTGTATTTGATTGGTTTTGAATAAAGGGATTTTATAATATGTACCCTAAGACACATATAAGAAGTATTAATTAATTACAATTATTATCATAATTAAATGTGAAATGTATTAATTATATAGATTATTAATGAATTTTATATTTAATTATGGTAATATTTCTTATAATTAATGTGTTTAACATTTAATTATGGTAATAATTGTGATTAATTAATACTTCTTATATATGCACTTAGAGCACATATTAGAAAATCCCTTGAATAAAAAAATATCTCGTAATTAGAAAAAAGTACATAATAATTACCTAATTATTAATAAAAATAATAATTAAACGGTAGTAATAAATGGAAAGGAGTATGGATAAATAATGCTAAGGAAAATGAATCGATTAGGGTTGATGATTTGGGTCTGAGTTGGGAAGGGTCATACTGAATAACCGAAGCACGACGCAATGCCGCTTATGTACTTACAGATCTTAAAGGGGCGCGAGTACCAAGAACGTGAAACATGCAAAACCTACTAAAGTTCCATTTTTAACAATGTTTTAAAACCCGGGTTGACCCGACCGGTTCAACCGGTTGGACCGTGACCCGAGGTAGAAGGCGGGTCAATTGCGACCGGTTTTTTGTAAAAATACGAACCGGATCGAACCGCCCGGGTTTCCTCTAAACCGCGGTTCAACCGCTTATGTCGAACCGGTTAAAACCGGATTGACCCGTTTTAATAGGGTTTGGATAGTTGGAAACACGTAGCGAACGCCAAAACAACGAGCCGTTTGCGGTTTCTTCAATGTTTTTAAATATTTAAACTTTGTGGATATTAAATTATTGGTTTTATATGTTTATGCATTATGAATGAAAGTAAAAATATATAAAAATAGAAAAAGAACATAAACCGGGTTGATCCGGCGGTTCAACCGGTTGAAGCGGTTGACCCGTGAACCATCATCATACCGGATCAACCAAAAACCTGGGTTTTAAAACATTGATTTTTAAGGTTTACCATGTCTGTCTTTTGTTATGTAACGAATGGATTTTGACATATGTTCGTTGTTTAAATCCAAGCATAATAATAACATTTCTTATGCGTACAACAAAATGTGTCACGCAAAAAACCATTAAAATAATGCAAGTCATTATTTCCATCAACATGGCATACTATCCTTATATGAACATGACCCCACCCACGCGGATACAAATTATACACATGAACGTTCACAAACAAATTACAAATTAACAACAATTGCAACAATCAGAGTCCTACATATTGTATCTTCGTTAAACATATATGTTACCTCTTGGAAACGTGGTCTGTTCTAAAATTGCAAGAGTGAAACAATACAAGGGATCCTTAAAAAAATCTAGTATGTGTTCAACACAGCGGTATTTATAGCAAGATTAAAACAGTAAGCACGAAGCACAATACTAATAAAAGTCTATTTGAGAGGCATTTATACTTGCTATATAAAGTAGCGGTGATAAAATTAGGGATTAAAACTACAAACAAAACTCTATCAAAAAGATTATTTTTGCAAGTTGAAATAATTTTGGACTTTAGTGAAAAAAAAAAAAAAAAAAAAAAAAATGCAAACCACAGAAACCATCAGTTGTATTTAAAATGCATTTTCTAATATACACGAAAGCCACACTACATTTGTCATGAACCAAAAAAGGTGAACAAATAACTCAACTTGGCCTCTTGAATGTTGAAAAGACATAAATGCTAAAATGCCCTTATCATCCTCACAATAAAAAAGAGACAACACTAAAAAGTAATGATCAAATATATGATTCTTCTCAAGCTTTTAAACACCAAAAGGACATAAATTTCCAGACAATTAAATCTAACAAATCTGCCCCACAAATACAACAAAAAATATCCAAGTTTTTTTTGCTGCTTATTACAACCTACTATATATTAATTCTTGGGTGTCAATATAACTAGACACAAATTAAAAAGAATTACATGAAAATAAGATCACCTATAAAAAATGGCACAAAATGGAGAGGCTTTTTAATTTGCATATAAAGCTTACAATTTTCACTAACTTTTCAAATGCCTAGAAGGTTGACTGAAATTAGTTACATTGACCTTCATTAGACCCATTCAAGTGTAATCCTGCATAAAGATGGTTTAATGTCAGAACCAGGAAACCAAACAAATGCAATTAACCATGTAGGAATAGCATTTATTCATTGTTACATGCAAGAAATAGCAATTTGTTTTTATTAGTATCTGATTTTTTAGAGAAATATAATAGAAACAAATGAAAGTAGAATGCTACAAAACACAAAGCATTGTAGAAATATTACCTTTAAGCACTTCAGGATTGATGGAATAATAATAGTCTTGAAGATCATATGGTAAAGAAGCTGTATCAAGCTCAAAAGATCAAGGTGGCACTCCAGCTCTTTCTGATCCAATCAGTTCTGTTGATGGGATTCGATGAGAGAATCTTAAACGTTCATTTCCAGGAATTTTTCGGTCATTTAGTCCTCCCCAAGCTGTTTTCTTAAACAGACTTACAAACCCTTTGACTTTGACCAATAAAGCAACAGATACACTGCCATTATCATGCACATCAAGAATTTCCACAATATCGAATTTGAATTTAGTATGGTTTTCTGGGTCTGAACCCCATTTGATATCCCAATCCTTGAATAAAGCCCATATTTCACCTTTTCGGGGATAAATAACAAAAGAATTTCTCTTCGAACTGTTTTTAGAATCTATCCGATGAGAGAACATGAGGCGATCTTTTGTTTCCTCTGATTTACCACCCACAAATTTCCCACATCCAACGGGTAACCCTTCTTCTGCCCATTTTATTTCGGATTCATCATCTGGGTCAGCCTCTAACCATGTGATCTTCAACTTAAAATTGCGTGTAAAAACTTTCCTAATTTTTGCATAGAATCTTGGCATCCCATCGATAGAATCGTAACATGCCCAGATTTGATCAACTGCGAAACAATCTTCCTCTTTATCTTTGTCAAAATTACTGAATTCTAAATCCAGGCAGTTTACAAACTTACTATCATCATCAAGATTCACATGGTTGCCATTTGGAATGCTTCCAGCAGCTTCCTTGTACACTCCGGGAACTTCCGGTGATGCTCCTTGTGCAGTTATGTCATAGGCAATGAAGAGCTTCGAGCAATGCTGACACCTCAAAGGTCTGTTCACGAACTCTCTGTCATACTCGTATTTTATGTTGCAAAAAGGGCAATAAGTCCCGAAAGATGCCCGAATGCTTGAATCTGGTGGTGTTGATGATGATTCAAAGCACTGAAGTGAGAACTCGGGAGATCATTGAAGTTGTTTTGATCTGTAAACTGTGTACATTCTCCTTTATCTGAAAGTATCATATTTGCTTCAATAATAAGCTTAAAAGCTTCAGTGTTATATCAGGGTGAAGTTTTCGGATAGTTGCTTGATTTGCTACATCGGGAAAACTGAAAAGGCAGGGGGTGTAACTTAAGAGGGATGACATCTCGATTCTGGAGACTGTCGCTTCGACTCCTGAGTATGTTGAAACTTGAAAGTGGCGTGGAGTCAAAGGAAACTCTGTCCATGAGATTGTTTCGCCTAAACACATTTTGGGCTTGACTTTGGCCAATTGGCCCTATCGGTGACATTAATATTGGGCTGAGCCCAATGATGTGCAAACAAGTAGGGAACCTTTTGTTAAGTCGGGAGCCCAGTCGTATTTAAACAAATATGGAAGGTGTTGAGTCCGAAACTTTTGTGGGGTATTTATATACCTATAATAATAGAGGTACAAATCAAGTATCATCATATTGATTTTGAAACTCTTATATCAGTTTCAAGCATATCATATTGATATATGATATGAAACTTCTATTTCTTTTTATATTAATGAGTAATGACTATAATGTTACAAAATGGGGCTATATAAACATCTCACTTATTATAAAATATGGTTAATTTATCTAGCTCATATTACATTGCTTGTTTTCACTGATATCTTCTACATTGATCAAAAATTTCAAGCAATTCATAATGAGAAAATGTATCATTGTATTTTCAATGACATTTTTGGATTGTTGGGTTATTTAAAAACTCACTTAATTTCCTATAAAATATTTTTGAACATTTGTGTTTGTTCATAAATATTTTTGAATGGTTGATGATATGTTTTGTGTTTTGTAGGGATTTAAAAGTAACTAGGAAAGGGACACCTGCCTTGATCAACCTTACAAAACACTAACACAAAACATCATCAACCTTACAAAACACTAACACAAAACATATGATCAACCATTCTGAATGAAGCATCAACAAAAACATAAATGAAAATAGGACCAAAAACGAATTGCAGCTAACAAATAGGCAACAAAAACATAAATGAAAGTAGAAGGAACCAAATCGAAGTCAACCAAAAGGTTACGATTTCTAAGGCTCCGCTGATTTAATTGTATATATAATGGAAAAAATAATGCTAGGACAAAACTCTATCAAAAAGGCTCTTTTACAAGTTAAATCTTTTTTGAACTTTAACCAAAAAAAAACACAAACCACAAATCATTTTTGCACTTTTCTCCAATTTCTATTTTAGATTACATATTCTCATGACTAACTTTACAAGAATCTATATTACAAGGTTATAATTAGAAATAAACATAGATAAAATTTTATTTTAATTAACTGATTCAACTATCTGATTATTCGTTGAATTTAAAACACATGTTCTAAAATAAACAAAAGGTCCACTACATTTGGCATGAACCAAAAAAGACAAACAATAACTTCTTCTCAATTCCTTGTGAGTTGAAAAGACATAAATGCCCTTTTAAGATAAAAAAAGAAACATTACTAAAAAAAGCGATGCAGATGGTCCAATATATGATTGTTGTCAAACTTTAAACACCAAAAGGACATAAATTTCCAGACAAATCTGCCTCACAAATACAACAAAAAAATATCCCAGAAGTTTTTTTTTTTTTTTGCTGCTTACTACAACCTACCATTTAATAATTCTTGGATACCAATATAACTAGACACAAGTTAAAAAGAATTACATGAAAATAAGAGGACCTATAAAAAGAGGCACAAAATGGAGAGGCTTTTAAATCTGCATATAAAGCCTACAATATTCACTGATTCTTTCATGTGCCAAGAAAGTTGACTGAAATTAGTTTGGTTGACCTCCACTAAACCCTTTCAAGGGCAATCCTGGAAAAACATGGTTTATGTCAGAATCAGCATTTTTATATTCATGGTTAAATGCAATAGAATGTTATTATACTGGGGTAGATTTTCAAAGTAGAATACTATACAAATATAATAGAAAACATTGCAGGATTAAGCATGGAGAAACATACCTTTAAGTGCTGCAGGATTAAGCTCCCAACAGCCTCTCAAAGCACCATCTTTTTCCTCTGTGAAAAGAAAAGCAGGAATGCGGCGAGAGAATCTGTTTATCTCCTTCTGTGGTATCACCACAATGTTGTCAGATGACCTTTGTACCCTTGGGGCCTTGTAAACCGACTTATAACCAGGGACATGTGTCAGGGACATAACTTTTACACTGCTTTCATCACTCTCAAGAACTTCAACAATCTCACATTCACAGTCAGCATCCTGTCTTTTGTTCAAAGCCCAAATCTGTTGTTCCCTTGGATATATACTAAAATTCGGCCCATTTTCTTCTGCTTTCACAACATGCGAAAAGACCTCCGGGGGTAGTGGCTTTGTTTTACCAGGAGTCGCTTTAAACAAACCACAAACAGTTGACTGATTGTTGCATGACTTAAGAAAGGATACTTGAAGTCTGAAGGGAGGGGTTTCAATCTGTATAATCTTTACATAACATTGATGAACTCCATTACTTGTATCCAAAATCGCCCATATCTGCCCTTTATGAAACTTCCATATCTGTGTGTCTGCACTGAAGTCATGAATAATCTTTGGGTTTTTTGGTAAATTACCATCCTCACAAAACGCGTTTGAACCTTTTGATGATGTGGCAGTGGCAGTGGCAGTGGCATCACTAGGGTTCTTTAATCCCCTTGGTGATCGGCGAACATTAAGCGTGTCTTTATCAATACCATTTTTACCCTCAGGGTTTACATTCTTCTTTGGAGTAGTAGCATTATTATTATTGTTATTACTATTATTATTATCAGGATTGATGGAATAATAATAGTCTCCAAGGTCATCTGGTAAAGAAGCTGTATCAAGCTCAAAAGATCCAGGTGGCACTCCAGCTCTTTCTGCTCCAGTCAGTTTTGTTGATGGGATTCGATGGGAGAATCTTAAATGTTCATTCCCAGGGATTTTTCGGTCATTTAACCCTCCCCAAGCTGTTTTCTTAAACAGACTTACAAACCCTTTGACTTTGACCAATAAAGCAACGGATACACTGCCATTAGCATGCACATCAAGAATTTCCACGATATCGAATTTGAATTTAGAATGGTTTTCAGGGTCTGAACCCCATTTGATATCCCAGTCCTTGAATAAAGCCCATATTTCACCTTTTTGGGGATAAATAACAAAAGAATTTCTCTTCAAACCGTTTTTATAAACTATCTGATGAGAGAACATGAGACGATCTTTTGTTTCCTCTGATTCACCACCCATAAATTTCCCACATCCAACGGGTAACCCTTCTTCTGCCCATTTTATTTCGGATTCATCATCTGGGTCAGCCTCTAACCATGTGATCTTCAACTTAAATTGGGTTTTGAAAACTTTCCTAATTTTTGCATAGAATCTTGGCATCCCATCGATAGAATCATAACATGCCCAGATTTGGTCAACTGCAAAACAATCTTCCTCTTTATCTTTGTCAAAATTACTGAATTCTAAATCCGGGCAGTTTACAAACTCTGGTTCATCATCATCATCATCGTCATCATCATCATCAAGATTCACATGGTTGCCATTTGGCATGCTTCCATGACCTTCTTTGCCCACATCAGCATTACCAGACACTTTTTCCTTTTCCTTTTTGGCTTTCGCATCTTCAACATCATCTGATGATTTCCGTGATCTTTTTAGAGGGCTCGACTCATCAACTGCAGCATCTTCATTGTAAGAAACTTGTGGTTTTTGGCGGGAAGATTTTCTGTAATTGACACCATTGCCAGCTGGACCAAACCCATTTCCTCCTTCTGCATCAGAACTACTTTCACCAGATTCTGCTCCAATCTTTCTTCCTCTCTTCTTCTTTGTGTCTTTAGAGGGTTCTGTTTTCATGGGCTTTGGTACAGTTTTTGAACTACCAGCAGCTTCAGGTTTTGTATTTGAAGTCTGATGTGTAAAATGACTAGACTGCCCATCTTTTTGTATATTGACTTTGACTTTTTCCCGTCTCTTCACCTCTTCCGTGTGAGAAAAGGGTGGTTGTGGTTGTGGTTGAGCTCTGTTGGATCCAAGATTTGCACTTTGATTCTCCTCATGCGCAAAACGGGACCCAGGCACTCCCCCTGCTGCACTTATGTCATAGGCAATGAAGAGCTTTGAGCAATGCTGACACCTCAAAGGTCTGTTCACAAACTCTCTGTAGTACTCGTATTTTATGTTACAAAAAGGGCAATAAGTCCAGAAAGATGGCCGAAGGCTTGAAACTGGTGGTTGTTGTTGTTGTTGATGATGATTCACACCATTGAAGTGAGAACTCGGGACACTATTGAAGTTGTTGTTTTGACCTGCAAACTGTTTTCTAGCATATGAACCATGAGTTTGAGGCTTTTGAGGCTTTGTTGCAGGAGCTTTCATGGGTTGTCTACATTTAACATCATATAGAGACCTTTTTCCTTTATCTGAAAGTATCATATTTGCTTCACCAATAAGTTTAAAAGCAGCTTCAGCACCAGGGAACTTGTTCTTATCAGGATGAAGTGCAAGTGCAAGTTTTCGGTATTGTTTTCGGATAGTTGCTTCATCTGCTACAGTTTCAATTTGAAGGATTCCATACAGGTCCTTTTCAGCACCATTGATCTTTTTTAGAGATGAACAATGAACCTCACAAACTGTGATTAGCTGAGAAATGTTTTCTAGTTCTGGATATAAGTTTCTGGCCTTCAATGCAATGTTTCGTGCCCCTTCAAAATCATTATTCACCATCTTTTTTTCTGCAAGCCCCTTGGCCCTGATAGCCTCATCTTTGTTACACTCCATTGATGCAGTAATTCAAGAAGGTAAACTACTCAGAAGATCTCATTTATATTAGAAATCAAAATCGCATTCTATGGTATCTTGTGTTTAACTCATGAATTATGAAGCAATCATATAATGGCAATGCCCCCCTTTCTCCCCAGAGTTCACTTCAAATCCCAATCTGAATATACATAAACAAAGTGGATATTGTTATTCGAAAACTGTTTTGACTTTCATTTGGTCAATAAAGTAGCAAACATGTAACTGGAAATTTTTTATTACTTAATTGTTGTAGAATCATATTACTAACAACTTATACCTAAAATTCTCTGATGCGCAAAGATGAGTGGAAATCAGATTCAGATCGTCCACCCTCTGCGATTGATAATTAGGAGAAATGTCCTGAAAGTATCACACAACACCAGATGATATTAGGTGTTATACAGTTTGAGTTTGCATCTACGTTTCTGAGAATGAGAACAATAACAACAACAGCAAAGAAAAAAATATAGCAATGATCAGATTGAGACTGATTTCATATCCTCTTACTATACGAATTTAAAGTAATCAAAACCAAACACCTGGTTACATAAAACCCCATCGCTAACATTTACGAGTTCAGAATAACTTCTAAACCGTCATGTGCAGAACAATTTCACACATAAATGTGAAGTGAGCCAAAAACCCTAAAAAGGAGTAAACAGCAAAATCGGGTATTTTCGAGTGCAGAAGATGAAATTAGGAAACGATATATCGAAAAACAAAAGAAAAATATCAAAATTAAAACCACTGTACAAGTACATACAATTACAAACAGTCTACACACACAAAAAAATATACATTGACATTGAAGCAGGAGACCAAAACAATGAAATATGAGAAAGCAGAACTTACTGAGTGAGGGTTGAGCGAGCTAGCGAGAATTCTGGAGATGGAAATGAAGGAGGGTTGGATCTAGAGATGATATGGGCAGCGGGAAGAAGAAACATGAAATTTTGAGAGATGATTTTGGCTCTGAAATATTTTCGTTTCTCCCTCCAAATTGTTAGCGTTGTTCATCAAGGGGTTGAGAAATTGAGGAATGTTAGGGTTTTTTAGGGGGTGTACTTTATGCACTAATCGTTGTACCTTGTATACTAACATGTTTAATAATTGTTTATGTTTTAATAATGCGTTTTTATCTTTCACAACATCGCACTTTATTTTTGTGTTACTAACAATTTGTGCCTCTTCTTGGATTGTTGACATAATATCGACGTATTTATTTAATAAGTACAATTAGGAAAACATGGGTTTTTATTTAAGCTGTAGTGTAGCTTATAATTAACTTTTAATAAAGACATATTACTAGATAATATTATGCATTATGCAATATTATGCCATGAGAAAATAAAAAAGAAAAAATATATATGTATTATATAGGAGATGAACGAAACATTTTTAAAAACATTTGATTTTTTTTCTCATGTTACTAAAAAGAATTGTTTTTTTTTTCTTTTCTTGTGTGATTTGTATATGGAAAAATTAATGAAAAATAGAGAGTAGCGTGAGAAGAGGAAAAAATGCCACTCACCGAAAAAACTTGGAAAACCATACATCCAAAGTCAAAGAATATCATGAATAAAATTATGGGGTGTTTTGGTGTAATTTAGATACACCGGTTTTTTTCTCAATCGTATGCGAAAAGATTGGTAGAATGCTTCTTGTATAATTATTCCAATTCTTGAATATCACATCCAATATACACATTCTTGAATATCACATCCAATATACACCCAATGATACCATGAATAATATTGAGAATAAAACATCAAATAATAAACTCAACTATTATTAATATGATTATCAAGTTTCGTCCATAAACCATACCGGTCCTCCGCGATCATATATGATTATAAGAAATTGGTAGAAGTTGATGTCTCGTTATCGAACGAAATTAAAAAACAAAACAGTAAACTAAAATCAACCTCGTAGTTGTTAATATCGACTCGTGTTGACTGCTCAGAGATGAATAATCTTTTGTCCTTAAAAGTTTTTACGTCATTTTAAGGTTGTAAGTTTCAACATAAACAATCATGATTTGATGGAGTTTATTCTTCGTTCCAACAGCTATGGAAGATGAATAAACGCAAAGTGATTACTCGGAAATAATAGAAGAACCACAATATAATAGAAGCAAATCCATATAGAGGGAGAGAGGAGAGCAAAAAAGATCCACGGATCTTAGTGTTATCTTAAACAGTGAATACGACTCTAGGAGACATGTATTTATAGTTGTAGGAACCTTGGAAGGCCTAAACCCTTCATATGGTCGGCCCTAAGAAACCCTTATCTCGGCATTTCCCTGTATGTTGCATTTTTTGTTCATTGTTCATATAAATTTGAAGACACAGATGTTCCCTTGAGTCCCTCGTCACTTTGATCTCCATGGGTGTCTCTAAAAACCTTAGTCGTCGACCTTTACCACCAGTGATTACATCCTCTTAAAAAAAACCAAACTTTGGCCTTATACTACGTCACCAGTTGCTCCGCCTCAACCATCACCACCAACACTATTCACCACCGGTAGATGTTCCATTCGTTCCTTTCTCCCATACCGTGAACATTATCCCAGTACCAATCAAAATCTATCCTTCGTGAGATCCCTTTCTCTCTTCGCCTTTAATAAACCTGGTTGTCACCACAATTGTCATTCACATCGTTCTCTTTAAAAACCCTAAACTCAATATCAGTCATCGTCGTTGACCTCTATCTAAAGCTGGAAATTAAATCGAAGAGATATCACCCACCCACCACAACTCTATGAGATCAAAGGCTCACCAACGCACCTTTTTCATTACTGCTAAATCTAAACCGCTATTGAGGTATCTCTATTCGATTCATCTTTCTAACTGTGTATGTGTGTGTAACTTTACGTTCGTCATCTATCTCTTTCTCATCCTTATGGTTGATTATACATAGATGAAATGCTCATCCTTCCTTCATCGCATAATCAGCACACCACCTAAGCTACACCAAAATTTACCCTTTCGACCGAATCGCCACCATATTAATTAAATTTACCCCAAAAGAATGACGCCCCTCTCTTATATCCTCATGAAAACCGTGGGCAAGTTTGTATTTTTTAACCAAATTCAATTTCATTTGGCTTATTTTCAGGAAACATGTTGATTTATTCTCATATCAGGAAAGAATTTCATTTGCCTTAACATTTGGTTTCTTCTTGATTTTGTTATTTGGAATTGAATTTGTAACTTTTTTTGGGTTTGCTATTTTCTTCCTATGTTAGTATAGAAAGATGGGTTTGCGTTTGTTTTATTGATTTACAAAACATGCACCCCAAGTGTTTGATGTAATGTCTTAAAGAAAGTTGAACCCAAGTTCATTACTCTCATCTCTCAACCTGGTGTATGTTTATCTTTTCAATTATTTATTGGTTTTTCTAACTATTTTTGTTTTTTTTTTTCAGTTTACTTTAGTTGTTCGTTGATCAAATGGTAAAATCTTTAAAGATTCTTTTTCTTGCCTTTCATATGTAACTTTTAGATAACAGATGATCTACACAAGTCAAGTTAGTGACTTTGTTCTAAACTTTAGTTTGCAATATTCTTTTTACAACTTACAAGAATAGAAATGATGCATAAAGGATTTTAACATAGAGTTTTGAAACCAAATAATTATAACTATGTTGCTATTATGTCAAAGTTGCAAGTCATTATGGGTATTAGTTGATGCAGTGAAGGCAATGTGTGACATCCCCAATTTCACGGTCAGAAAAGACCGATTTGTTTATGCTTTGTTTTTTAAATCAGAGTAATCGTTTAAAAAAAATTGTTGCGGAATTTGTCGCCAAAACAAAATATGATAAGATTTTATCAAATCATTTCTTAAAGAAAAGTATTTTCATTATATAACAAAATCTCGGGATGTCATGTTCCGATACAGACACATAAGCATAAACAAAACTCACATTTATTTACACTAATGATTTACATCTCCTTTAATCTTTCATTGAAATATGTCTTCGTATTGATACATGTGATACAAAGAAAACTGAGTGGGTCAGGCTTGGGAGCCTGGTGAGCATATAGGGTTTTCAACCCACAATAATATAATTATTATATTTAATCATCAAACAATCAACCCAATTACCCATCCCCATTTTCTTCTTTATTTTTTTTAGATTTTATCTTAAGAATCGACTATCCTTCCTTCATTCGTTCCTAAGGATTGACCTAAGGAATTGGCACAAAGCCCATTGCTGCCTGAGGTTAATCTACATAGTACTAAATCCATAATTATCATCGTTCGTTTACACAGTACTAAATCCATAGCTATCATGGTTCATGTACACTGTACTAAATCCATAGCTACCATCGTTTTATTATGAGGCACTAAATCTATAGCTGCCAGGGTTTTTAGAGTGCACCGGTGAACATCAAGTCCACAGCATCTACAAGTTGTGAGCTTGCTAGTGTTCCACTGGACTGTCTAGAATGGTCTGTGGTTGTCATCTAACTCTGCTGAATGACGGGGGCCATCGTTTTGGTAAAGGATTCACTCATTTTTCACCTGTCACCCTCATCTCACGATCTATATCATCTTTCGTCTCATTCTCAAACTCATCTTTCATCACACACCAACTATTTCATCTACCCATGTTCTACCCAACACATTTGTAGATATAAATTACATATATATAATTTAAATTATATAAAAACCTGTATACAACATTTGTTCAACATCCATCTCAAGTAAACAAACAACGTATAAACACATAACACGTATTTCATAGCAAATAATTCATATCTATACGGTAGAAAAAAGTAACTATACACTCACACGTATAAACAATAATATATATATATATATATATATATATATATATATATATATATATATATATATATATATATATATATATATATATAATCGAAATTATTAGAGTTAAGATTAAGTTATGCATATTTGAGCCTTGTAATTAAGAGTTAAGTTTCAATTTTCAATAAATTCTGAAAAAA